TCCCGGGGCTTTAACAGCAGTTCCCAGTTTCACCCAGCTCTAATTCAGGTGTGATCCCCCTGTCCTCTAAATCCAGAATGTGGGATCCACCTGGGAATATCCGGAGAAAATATTCCAGGATTAAAAGAATCCAAACTTTTGGTCAAACACCAACATTTCACCTCCTTTTTTTTCCTGCAAAGAACCCCCCAAAACACGAGTCCAATTTTGCAATCCCGTTACCAAATTAATGGCTCTTTTAATGTGCTTTAATTAAAGGTTTGGGGTTAACAGGAAGACAAACAAGTCAAGGACGTCCTCTGATGTTAAATTAACTCCTCACAAAATAACAGCTCAATTAGGAGGTGGGTTCAGCTCCTCCTTCCACCACGAGGATGTGAAAGTTCATTAATTAAGTGGAATATCAGGTGTAAAACAGAGAAGTGGTTTTTCTGCCCCTGCCGTTTTTAACAAGGGGATGAAGGGGAAGCTCGTTAATTTTTTTTTTTACTTGATTGGTTATTAATGATGAGCCCGAGGTCTGAGCACGTCCTGGTGCCTCCACACTCAGCTGATGCCCTCGGGGTGGGGAGGGAGTGGAGATGGAATCTCCAAAGGGTTCCAAGAGAAGGAGGAGGAGGAGGACAGAAAGGATGACATTAAAAAACCCCAAACACAAAACAAGAAAAAAAGAGTTTGAGGAGGAAACTGGGTTGAACCCCGGGTTAAAAGCACCAGGGGACACGAGGAAATGTGAGTTTTTAAAATTTTTTTTTAATGTCTGCAGCGGTTTTTTGAGGGGAAAATGGTCAGTGGAGGTGGCAGCCACGGTATAAATTGATTTGATTTATTAATTTATTGGTTGTTATTTATTTTTGTCCTGTCAGGGCAGGGTTTCATCGGGATCTGCAGAGGCCACGGAACGGCCTCTCCACGGGGTTGGGGCTCGGGGACCTCCTCCTTTGGTTCCCCCAGGGGGGTCGAGAAGGAGCTGAGAAGGTTCCTGATAAGGATCTTAGTCCCATCCCATCCCACAGGAAGCTGGAACAGCTGGAGCTGGTCCTGGCAGAGGTTTGGGAGGCGGTAAACAAGGTGATTTCGTGTCCTACAAACCCAGCGGGTCCTGGCCCTTCATCCCCGGGGAGGTGTCACCACACCCGGCAGGGTCACCACACCCAAAATGTCCTCATGGATCACCCGGGGTGGACTCTGAGCCGATAATTGTTCCAATCAAGGTCAGATTTGGTGATCAATGGAATAAATCCCTCTCTGGGGGCGACGGGAAGCTCAGTTCCTGTCACTGGTTCTGCAGCAGGAGCGGCCACGGGACGAGGAGGTGGGTGGAGAACAGGGGAAGACACAAGAAAGCCCCAAAACTCTCGTTATTCCAGACTGAATCTGGAGGGAAAGGAAGGGCAAGGGAGAAGGGAAGGCTCCAAGGTCTCCCTGGAGCCCTTTCCGGGCTTAAAGGTGCTCCAGAAGAGTTGAGAGGGACTGGGGACAAGGGCTGGAGGGACAGACACAGGGAATGGCTTCCCACTGCCAGAGGGCAGGGAGAGATGGGATACTGGGAAGGAATTCCTTCCTGTGAGGCACCAACATGGAATTCAGGGGGAGGGGTGTGAAAGGGGTCTGGAGGGCACAGGCAGGTTCAGGTGTGTGAGAGCAGGGCCTGGAGGTCACCAACATGGTCCAGGTGAGTTTGGGAGGGGTCTGGAGGACATGGGCAAGGTCAGGTGTGTGAGAACAGGGTCTGGAGGACATGGGCAGGTTCAGGTGTGTTTGGGTGGGATTTGGAGGACACTGGCAGGTTCAGGTGTGTGGGAGAGGTCTGGAGGACACCAACAAGGTTCAGGTGTGTTGGGGTGGGGTCTGAAGGACATAGGGAGGTTCAGGTGTATAAGAGCAGCACCTGGAGGTCACCAACATGGTTCAGGTGTGTGAGAGCAGGGCCTGGAGGACACTGGCAGGTTCAGGTGTATTTGGGAGGGGTCTGGAGGACACTGAAGGTTCAGGTGTGTTTGGGAG